AACTATAATTAATAATAATACAAATAAAGAAGATAATAATAAATAAAAGATAAAAATAATAATTTCAGGTGTTACAATATTAAGGAGTATGAAAGAGGAAGTGCTTAATAATCGTCCCGTGCATGGTAATCGGCTGAAGCCATATAAACAAAGGGGTTTCATCTCATATGAGATGGAAGGAATGATGGATAGATATTAAAAGACTTCAAATTCAAGGAATTCGTCTAAAAAAAAAAAAAAATATATATAATAATAATAATAACAAAATGCAAGTCCCTGAAAGTTTACGAAGAAAGATAAGACAAATACGTGAAGAATTAATGGTACTTGCCAGAGATGCGCAGCTTATCATTGATAGTACGGGTGCGTATGTGATACTTGGAGACAACGTAACAAATTTGATGAAATCCGTTAGTGACGATACGTTGTTCCCCTATGTTATGGATGTAATGACCGCTCCAGAAGAAGGATACGATTCAACGAAGGATATGTCTGATTCTGATATAACAGGTCTATTATCTATCGCAATAAACCCCACTAATTCAAACGGACAACGGGTAAATGCTTACAGACGTCTCGGGGATTATATCCACGCTGCCCAGATGGAACGAACCACTACATCGATAGAACAGGAATTGCGAACGTATTCACATCAGAATGGTTCACGAATACGTACGATAGCCTTGAAGGCAAAAGGATTAGCACAAGGAGCCGAAATGTTACGGCCGAAGGATCTCTATAGTGTTACGCCCGATTGGTTATACAGACTTCTGAGACAAGAGTACGAAAGACTGGTGCAAATATGTGGAAAAACAAATTCGCGGACAACTCTAAATTATTCGAACAATGACGTAGGGTCGCAGGAGCTCCCCTTTGAAGGAGGAAATGTTTGTGGTGACGACGAAAGATTGGTAAGGTGGTATGAAGATAGCAGCGCAGAAAACATGTGGTATGGGAACACAAATGATGGAAATGATGGAGAAGTACAAATGATGGAAATGATGGAGTTGTACAATGATGGAAATGATGGAGTTGTACAATGATGGAAATGATGGAGAAGAATGAATGATAGAAATGATGGAGGAAAAATAAATATAAAAGTAGCGGTAGCAAGAGGAAGAAAAGAGAGTTCTTTTTGAACGGCATATTTTTTTTAAGATAGCAACATTTGATATTTTATCACTTTGTTTATTTTTATCTTATTCTATTTTATTAAGTAATTATAACAACGTTTATAATAATATTCATGTAAATAGTAGAAGTAGTAACAGAATAGAAACATGTCATTGTAATATTTTGTTGCCTAACTTCTAATAAAACTTTCTTTTAGTTGTCTAATTATAAATAAACATTTCATCACTTATAAATTTGTTCTAGCATCGATAATATACATAGGGAAAACTACCTCTACTTCACTTGCTCACGTACCTTTCAGATAATATTTACAATTTCGTAGTTGTCATTCAAAGTTGCCACACTGTATAGCGATACACGAAGAAGTGTAAACTATTATTGTGACTGGGAACTTGATTTGTTGTGTAATTCTGTTGTGTGCTGTCCAGACGTGACAATGTAGATCTCGAATATATTGCCATTTCCTTATTTGATCAGTTTAAAAAATAAAAGAAATAGAATGTTCTGAAAGAATATTATTAAAACAATTAATTCGTGATCCATTCCATTTATGTAATTTACTAGTCATAAATGGGTAAAATTTTGTAAATCACTTATAAAATTTTTTGAAAAGGATGATAAGAGTACTAAATTCGTGTACCTCATGAAAATATAATATAATGGATTATAGCAAAAAAACCTCAGCTTTCCGATTCACCAATAATAAATTTTGATAAAAACAAAAAAAATAATAAGTTTCCTTAGTGGCAACTGTAGATTCTTGCATTCATATATAAAAATCAATTTTCATTCTCTGAGCAGCAGGGAGCGCGAGCAGACTTTCTATTTTGTGTTCCTCAATTTTTCACTTTTGGGTTTTACGCTTTTCTGGCTTTTTTAGCGCTTTCTTGAGAACATTAGACAAAAACTAATTAAGGAATCAGATTGAAAGCTTTCTTGTATAGTGTATTTCTTGTGAATTTTACAGCTTTAGAACTCTTAAATCGTTATAAAAAAATTTTAATATTCAGAATTCGGTGTAATTTTACACGTAGCTAGAATATCTTTAATTTTTTATAAATCATCAAATTCAATAATTTGGGATCTTCAATAGTTTTGAGTATTTTTAACGGGAATTTAACTAGTGAAATAATTGTATATCTAGAGAGGCTTTAATCTTTTATTAATCGCTATGAATTACACTGTCTTTCTTATACATTTTAAAATGGTAGAAAGGTGAAACTGATAACGAAAAAATAAAGCATCTGATACGATTTAATGTATAGCAATTTTTTTTTGTGTCGTCGTCTTTGGTGTAATTTTATATACTTTTTTTATTCATAGCAGGTGAAGAAGTAGTGTTTTTGTTTAGTTTCCGATCATAAAACCTTTTTCCTCTCTAGTTCGGAAAAAGAAAGTAGTTAACCTAATTAAGATTTGGCTTTGAACAGGTTCTGTAAAAGGGTGGGATATATATTATTACTTGATTAATAAAAATGAAAACTTCACATATTTGAACACGAACTGATGCGTGAGTAGAAATAATTAATTTTTATTTAAACAAAAGATCTGAATAATTAGTAGTAATAAAATTCACCGGTTTTTAATCAAAATGATACCTCCATGTCCTAATTGTGGAAAAAATGACTTTGCAAAAAATCGAGATCGAGTTACACACGTGAATCCAAATCGAGCAAGACCATGCTTACCTCGCAATTTACCTGCATCAGTTCCTGAACCTGAAATCGAGGAAGCAAATCTTCAGCATGAGCCATCTCCAATAGTACAGCCAAAAATCGATTCTGAACTTGTCCCAAATTCTTTACCAATCTTGTCACCGCGTACTAACAAACAGAAAGTGGATAATACTCCACAACGTACCAGGTTAACAATCAATAAGCGTCCAGATGAAAGTGTTAAAGAATGGGCCATTCATCTTGCCGATAGATCAGACAAGGTTAGTCATATGAAGCAAAATCGAAATTGGTTACGCAGAAGAGGAGAAAATCTAA